GGGGATTTTTTTTGTGTACAAAGAAAATTAGCCCCCCCCTGCCATTATCCTGACACTGACAGCATCTCATCTAGAATACTGCCTATATCCTTGGTCAGGCACATTATACACCAGAGTGAGCTGGACTAACAGGAGCTTGAAGGAAATGAAGAGCCTCCCACGGGCTGAGAAGGGGCAAATAAAAACAGTGGTTTCTGAGTTCTGAGCACTGGAGCGAAGGGAGTAGAAAAAAGTAGCAGAGTAAAAAAAAAAAAAATAAATAAAAAGTAGCTTTTAAGAAATACTCTGGTCAGTTTATGCACTGAATAATTTCACATCAGTTCTGTGTAGTATGTTGGCTTACTCAAGTGACCCAAGAGGTAAGTCCCTTTGGCTTACATGCCACTCCCCTGTAATGTTAATGTCAGGGTGGGTAATGAACCGATAGACAGAGGGTCCTGCACTAAGAACAGCAAACTCCACAATGTGTCAGGTCCAAGCCTGGAGTCAGCCTCCAGCTTTCAGAACTCATTTTCCAGGAGTATTAATATGTATGGAAGCAGGTTAAGTCAGATACCCCTTGGAAGGGGGGATATGTGCCCAGATAACTTACCTGAAAAATATCAATGCGTTTTGGAAAAACACCGCTAATCCAGGGTAAACATTAGTGTCTGCAAAGTAAGTAACAAAGGAAACAGTAAATTCTTTTGTATTGGAAGGTGTATTTAAACCACTGTTCATAGTATCACTCTGACTACAAGACTAGATGGTATGGCTCTGACAAGAACTCGCCACACACTTCCATTCTTCTGGATTTTCTGCCTTTTGGCTGACAGTAAAAGTACTTTTCTATATGTGAAAATAAACAAACTTACTCTGTGTAACATATGCTCCAAAAAGAATCCACATTGAAGCAATAAGTGAACCAAACATCAGCATAAAGCCAATAAAGAGCCAGACACGAGCACCTGCAGGGAATATTAAAACCTCTGAGAATCACATAGGCTATTATCCATAGCTCAGACGATCCCAGGTACTACTCTGTTACGACACGATACGTTAACTTGCTGGAGGCAGAAAGGGGAAGGGTTAAACCCTTTATCAAGGACAAGATAAACCAAAATTTGCCTTCCCTAGTAGAACACATAGTAGCTGGATTCCCCTTATTTTAGTGAGCAGACACAGCTATAAGAAATTTCTCCTCATCTGTAGGCAATGCCTATAACATCATTTAACACAACCTGGAGTGGACTAATGATCAGGTACTTTGCCAAAGCCATACTGTTTCTAAGGAGAAGATGGCATTCCAACAGGGTATGTAAAACAAACGCTTCCTGTGCTTACTGCAGAAAGATATTTTCAGATGGGCAACATCTACCATAGCTAGGCATTACCTGCTGAAAAACGAAGATGATGCCATTGAAAATAATCAACCTGCTCACTCATGGGAAAGGGAAAAATACTTCTTTACAGAGATTCTCTCAAACTGACTTAGGGATGACACACAAAAAAAGCATGCTGGGCCAGTTCAAAGAAATCAGTAAATCCTTCCAGCTTTCTGGTCTGGCATTCTACAACTCACATGAGAACAGATGCTGGGATCCGCATGGGAACTAGTAAGGGAATTATGAATGGAAGCAGACAGAGGACAGCAAGTCCACAGACACCACACAGTAGGTGACATACAAAGGAAACAGAATGTTTACAATACATTCTAAAATAAGACACTCTTGCAGAATGTCTGCTCCGTAGCCTACAAGGCAGAAATTTATTTCTCCTAGCAGCTATACAGAATTTGCAAAGGAAAGTTTAGGTGTTTGAGATACACAGAAGCTGAATTTTTCTAAGTTTACCTTTTTAACAAAGACAGTACTTATCTCCATGTGTTAATTTTGTAAAGAAATTAACTTCTATGAAATTCTTAACTTCTATAATTTAACCACCACTTAGAAAAAAACCCAACACCTGAATAATCAGTCTCTCAACTCAGCACGATTTTTAGAGTTGATTTACCTGTTCTTCCTAAACATCCATCACTGTAGCTGTCTCCTCTCACCTGGGCATTTGATACAGCATTTATCCTAGGAACAAAGAAAGTGTACACACTTCAGATTATTAGAAAATTGATTTAAAGCTGTAAGTAAAAAGCTGGCTTTTTTCAAGATGCAAGAAACTCTGGGAAAATTACTTGTCATCCTCTATAATCACATATTACTCCTTAACCGAAGGATTCCAATTGGATTTCAAGCAAACCCCATATTTGTTCATAAGTTTTACTTCAATGTTTACATTAACAGACAGGTAAGATGAAAAAATTGCCCTTTTAATGTCTGTAATATTCCTGGTCACTTTCTGGCTGTTCAAGTTTTAAAACTAGGTAAAGCCACTTCACAGGAATAACAACAGCCAGTAATAGAGCGCTCTCATGATTCTGATACAAGTTGCTTTCCTTCACAATGAATACCATAAGTTTTCAGTGAGAGACACTCTCTAAGGAGGGACAATACATTTTCTTAAAACAAGTTACACTGCTGAGGGGGAAAAAAAAACAAAAACAAAACACCAGAAACTTTCAAGATCAAGTGTTAAAAAGGTCTTGCATATCCAAATGATGCATCCTTTTCTCACCATCACTGTATGATTCAATAAAAGCTATTACTTCTTCAAGCTTGCACCATTTACATCTTTGTAACAACAACAGCTATACTACTACTACCTCTCCCATTTGAGGAAGTTTGGGGCCAGAGACAGTTGTAAAAATTACCTAAAATTAGGGGTAAATGCAGCCAAATGTTTTACATTGAAGTAAGCAACTGGGCCAGCATTACGTGATTTTTGATCTAGGAATCTAAATACTTATTATAGAAAGCCATTTGCATAAATGAAGGTCTGCTTTCTTACATTCAGCTGAAGTGCACAGGAAAAGCGACTGACCCTAAACAGATGGAGGTGCAGATAGACAGAACAATGAATAAACAGACTATGACCAGAAACAAAGGCCAGAGGTAAAAGAAAAAAGGCCTTTACATTGCCATGCAAAAAGGTATAACAAGATTACTCATAAATCATCTACAACCAAGTGACTCAAAGTTTTATCATATACCACATTGTCTAGTAAAAATTGTGTTTAACAGCTCATGTTTATAAGAACTCCCTTTATACACACTTACATGAAAAAAGCTAGTGTTGAAAACACCCCACAAGTATGGAATGCATGGTTCATTTGTTCTGGCTTAGGGTAAACTACTGCAGCATCTATCATTATCCACCAACCTGTGAAAAACTAGAAATAAAATAAACCAGTATCACGAGGCTGAAAGGGTACAGAGACACGCAGACAAAACATGGCAAAAGTTCATGCACACCACTGGCTTAACTATCTTTCAACAAGTACAAACTATTCTAGGAAGTTATTAGCTTTAAGACGGACTCTAAATCTGTTAGACATGCAGTTTCTACATAAAACTTAGTATCTTCAGAGAAGCATTTGGGTATCAGTCACATTTTCTATTCAAATTAAGTATCACTGTTTGTTTAAACTCCCTGAACAGCTTTAAAAACAAGAATCCAGATTCTAAACACGGAAGATGCAAACCATGTATAACACTGGTGTTCTAATGTATCTAATTATGAACAAAATCCAGTAGGAACATCAATCTTTTTTAAGGAAGAGGGTGCAGAAATTGTACATAATTATCAGACAAAATGCAAAGTTATGTGACTCGTAAAAAAGCTGCCTAATAATTGCATGTAAAAAAGATCTTAAAGAAACACACAGGACTGACACGCAGTTACGAGTGGAACTGCACAAAACTTGAAACAAAAATGTAACTATTTGTTTGTCATAGTTCCAAATTTGTCCACACAGTTCTGATTCCTATCCTCTCAAAACTTACCAATACACCAGCAACTATTGAAGCGATAGTATTTCTTCTTTCACTCCAGTCGATACACTCACATTCTGGCCAGCGGAAGTTGTCTAGGAATCCTGCCATCTCCTCAAAGATCAGATTGCTCTTCTTATTTTGTACTTACACATTAATTTTTCCATTAACAGCTTTGTCCTCAAGACCTGAAACACAGCCAAAGATGCATTTAATACAAAGTAGCAGAACCTTGAGATGTTTGACAACTCTCATGAGCAATTTCTACAATACCTGTTTTTTTACAAAATTAAGTATTCCATTTTACTCTGTGGATTCTATATTGAGCTATATTCAAAAAAACAACCTACTCTACAAACAGAATTACAAAAGAAAATCATCACACAACCCAAAAACTTAGGCATTATATATAAATCATCATATCTGAAACAGAAAAGAAATAGCATAGAATATACTGTTTATTCAAATCAAACACAAAAATAAATGCAAGCAAAGAAAAAGAGAAAAAAAACCCAACTATTTCAATCTAAGTTTCATCTTCAAACCATAATGTTGTCCCTGGCTTTAGCAGTTTAAAACAGGAAGATACATACAACAGGGCTTCCTATGTAGACCAGAATGTGGTCTTTGAATCAGGCCAAGGAACCTTGCATAAGATACCCATATTTTCAGTCTCCAAATCAGATAGATAATACAGTGCCCTTCTGACAGAGGAAAAAAGGGATCAACTCAGTGCACCAACAAATACCAAGGATAAGAGAGGATCACACAGAACTTTAAATGTGGGAAGAGAAAAGCAAAGTTAATTAGTTACAAAGTGACTAAAATAAGAGATTTCTCCAACAATTTCGTGAGACAGTAGCAGTAAAAGATTCTGCACTACACTACATCTGTTCTCACCCCGTGAGATGATTAGCACGTATAGTTTGAGTGTCAAAAGTGAAGAGTATTTTCTGGTTTTCTATTTAGTATTTTCTATTTATCTATTTATTAGTGACTCACAGCAACTCTTAATGCCATTCTGTTTTGTTTTATATTGTCAACTTCTGTGTTTTCCTAAACAGCTGTAATTTCAAGATACTTGTTAAAGGCTAACAACAGACAAATGCCCTTTACGATTACATTACAGGACAGACTGATGTAGAATATTTTTCTCATTAATAATTAAGAAGTCTACACCAAGAAGTGAAATAAAAGTAAATAAATACATAACCAGAGGTTACCTATGTCATGGGTTAAGCCCAGCCAGCAACTAAGTATCACCTCCCCCCTCCCTCCAGTGGGATGGGAATGAGAATCAGAAAAAAGGTAAAACCTGTGGGTTGAGATAAGAACAGTTTAAAATAAAAAATAAAATGTAAATAAAAAAAAGTAAAAGTAAAAATTAAAAATAAAAAAAGCTAGAAATTAACAGTAAAATGTAGTAATACTACTACTAGTAGTGAATAAAGAGAGGAAGGAATAAAGAAGTGACGTACAGTACAACTGTTCACCTCTGGCTGATCAATGCCCAACCCGTTCCCAAGAAGCAACTGGCACCCCCAGCCAACTCCCCCCAGTTGATATACTGGGCATGACGTGCTGTGGTATGGAATACCCCTTTGGCCAGTTTGGGTCAGGTGTCCTGTCTCTGCTCCCTCCCAGCTTCCTGTGCCACTCCTCACTGGCAGAGCATGAGAGACTGAAAAGTCCTTGGTCAGGGCAAGCCCTACTCAGCAACAACTAAAACATTGGTGTGTTATCAGCACTGTACTCAGACTAAAGCCAAAACATGGCACTACGCCAGCTACTGGGAAGAAAATTAACCCTATTCCAGCCAAAAGCAGGGCAGCCTACATTGCAAACACAGGCCACCTCCTGTGATTAAAAAGTTTGTCCTGCTAAGTCTAGTTCCACAAATCCATCCATAGTTATGATGCTACCTTAAAGCATTAAAATCAATCACACAATTCCAAAATCAGCTTTACTTTTGTACAGTACCTGGGCTCAACCATGTATTTATTCTCCCAGACTATACTCTTCCCTAGCAATTTTCAGATCCCTGTTCTTCCTACAACTTTCACACGCAATTGCCACACTGCGCTACTCCAGATTTAAGACTGCTCCTACAACCCTCCCTTCTCTTCCACTCTTAAAATGGCTCCATTTGTACTTCTTTGTTCCTCTTCAAATGTGAATGTGTCTCTTCCTCATCCTGCAGTAATCCCTTCGTTTTCCGTGCCAGCTTCTTGCCCGCTGGCACTGGAACACAGCTCATGGTTTCCATTGCTGTCACCACCACACCACAGTTCTCACCCTGTGGTGCGGCTGGCCACAGGTAGGAGTAAATAGACAAATACACTGTGTATTTCTTCCCCCCCAAACACAATGAAGGTTATGTCAAACCTACAGAAGTCATTACCTTGCTTAAAATACACTTTCGGGCATTTTCAGAGTAATTGAAGCTGTATTTCTTCAAAGCGCTATTTTCCTTTGGAATTTTTTCCCATAATGGACCATTCAAATAGCATTAACACAGCTAAATGTAATCACCTCCTTCAAACGTAACATAAAGTACTGTAATCCAGAAAACAGGTCAAGAAAAAACACTGGAAAAAGTATTTCAGATATGTCAAACAGAAGAAAAATTATTTTTCACCCTCTACTTGGATGCCCCCCAGAGGTACCTCGACACGCTGGAGAAATTTGCTGACAGGACATTTCTCATAAAGTTCAGCATGGGGAAGTGCCAAGTCTTGCACCTAAAACAACCCCATTTGCCAGTACAGGCTGGGTACCACCCTGCTAGAAAGCAGCTTGGCAGAAAAGGACCTGGGGGTCCTGGTGGACACTAGGTTGAACATGAGCCAGCAATGTGCCCTTGTAGCAAAGAGGGTGAATGGTATTCTGGGCTGCATTAGGCACTGCCAGCAGGTGGAGGGAGGTGATCCTTCCCCTCTGCTCCACACTGGTGAGGCCATACACGGAGTGCTGTGTCCAGTTCTGGGCTTCCAGTGCAAGAGACATGAAGTGCTGGAGAGAGTCCAACAAAGGGCCACAGTGATGATGAAGGGACCGGAGCATCTCTCCTATGAGGAAAGGCTGGGAGAGCTGGGACTGTTCTGCCTGGAGACGAGAAGGCTCAGAGGGATCTTATCAATGTCTATATACACCTGAAGGAAGGGTGCAAAGAGGGCGCAGCCAGGCTCTGTTCGGTGATGCCCAGCAGGAGGACCAGAGGCAATGGGAACAAAGTGAAACACAGGAGGTTCCCTCTGAACATCAGGAAACACTTTTTTCTCTGTGGGACTGACCGAGCACTGGCACAGGTTGCCCAGAAAGGTTGTGGAATCTCCATCCTTGGAGATATTCAAAAGCCATCTGGACACAGTCCTGGCCAACTGGCTCAGGGTGGCCCCGCTTGACAGGGATGTTGGACAAGATGCCCTTCAGAACTGCCTTCCAACCTCAACCCTTCTGTGATACTTAACTAGCCTGTTAACTTATTGGATGACTTAATGAAAGAAGTCTTCTTACTTCTACAAAACTGTTCTAGTCAAAAAGGCCAAAACAGAATGAAAAAACCCCAACATTCCCTTTTATGATTTTAAGGGGATGTATAATTTTTTCTGTCAGCTAATATAATTAAGACAACTTCCAAACCAAAATCTGACTAGTATTTATCCTAGCAAAATTCTTTTGACTTCACAGTCAGCTCCTGGGAGACCTTATTGCAGCCTTTCAATATATGAGAGGCTTATGAGAAAATTGAGACTTTTTACCAGAGCTTGTACTGACAAGAGGCAACTGAAAGAAAGAATGGCTTTAGATTAGAGTATTAGGAAGAAGTTCTTTGCTATGGGGGTGGTGAGACACTGGAACAAGTTGCCCAGAGAAGCTGTGGCTGTCCCATCCCTGGCAGTGTTCAAGGCCAGGTTGGATGGGGCTTTCAGCAACCTGGTCTAGTGGAAGGTGTCCCTTCCACATGGATAATCTTATGGTCCTTTCCAACCCAAAACAGTTCCATATATATAATTCTCAATAACCATACGAAAAAAAAAGGAAAGAAACCCTATATTTCAACTGTGAAGTGCCATTGTGAAGCTGAGTCTCCACCAAGACCACAAAAGCTAGGCTAAAGTTTATCTTCATATGGGTTTATATGGACACATGCGTTAAATTTTAGCCCAATTATATCCTACTACGTGTAGACAGAAAACTCTGATGAAGACACACACTTTCAGCTGGAGTTTCTTACCTGAATAAAGGTACAAAACTTGCTCTCTTGGTTTAAACTTTTACATCCACGTACTTCAAGGCAAGGAAACAGGTAAAACCCCTTTCATTAGCTGTCCTTCAATGCCCTTCCTACAATCTGTCTCCTCCCCTTCTCCAAGGGCAGACAGGTTCTCCCACTGTTCTCGGGAAGCACTTCTCACTTATATTGAATAAACAGAAATACAAGAACACTTGAAGAACAAACTGGTGACTGAAGACAGCTATACTTACTGTAAAAATAACACGTGGTGGATGCTAGTAGTCAGGTTAAAACAAATAGTATATTATTGAGGCAAATGAAGTAAAATGAAAACACAAGAATTGAAAGTCTGTTTCTCTCTCCCAGAATGAACGGATTTCACTTGAACAAAATATTAAAAGCAGCCACAAGAAAATATGAAAAGCCTGCAAAAAGAAAACTGACTTAAGCTCCACAAAGGCCCTGAAATACCATCAGCTTAGTGAAGAATGGAACCTCCTATTTCCAGAGGAGAAAGTAAAAAATAGACAGGAGGAAGAGAAGAAATTTAAAGTCAGTAAGAAAACCCTATTTTCCTTGAAGAAGATGACAGCATCTTCCATGAGCAACCAATCAGAACACGCTTTAAGCCAGCCACATGCTTTCCCTGTATGAGTGTACTATGATAAGATATTTGGTCACTGGTCGCTGTAAGGAGCTTATGTGAACATTTCTATTAAGTCCACTAATTTTTTTAAGGGGGATCTTTAGACCACACATTTCAGTCATTAGGTGCCATTTCACTTTCAGTTTCCCACACTACTATGCTATATTGGCTAGTTTTTAAGTATTACAGAGATGGGAAGAGGGGAAAAAAGGACCTTTTAAATGAACTTACACAAAAAGCAGACTGCTAAAATTATCACCTTACACGAACCTGTGTAATGCTCAGCCTCAGAGCACTGCGGCTGC